AACCTCCGCGCTCTCCACGTTGGCCTCGATGCTGTCTGCAGAGCACACAAAACACCAGCAGCTAGACGTCACATGTACCGCTGTGTATCCAGCACCTGCCCAAGCCCTGCCTGGGTGTGGCTGCGCGGGAAGCTCCTCCGTACACAGGGCACGGCCTCGTGGGGGGGCGCAAAAGAAGAGCGAAGGGTTATACTCACCGATCATTTCTCCCTGGTCGTGGATCATCACAGCTAAATCCTTGAAGATCTGGTTCACATCCAATATGTCTGACTATGATGAAAACAGACAAATGAGAGCTGCTCAAATCGACCCTTAAACAACAGATCTAAACATCACACAAAGACACCAGAACAAATTAATACAGCCTATATATAAAAGGATTAAATTGCATAGTGGCCAGAAGAACCATCTCCGTTCGGCCAAGGTGTCGCTAGCAACTCTTTTAAGAATCTCTGACATTTAAATCTCCTTCACACAGGTTCTTGGATGTACAGGTCTAGTATGTATACTAGTAGGTCTAGTATGTATAGTATGTATACTAGTAGGTCTAGTATGTATAGTATGTATACTAGTAGGTCTAGTATGTATAGTATGTATACTAGTAGGTCTAGTATGTACAACACAGAGTGGTTTTGAGCAGTTCAGTGTCCCGGCAGTGGACTTACCTCCAGCTGGCGAAGGCTGGTCTCCCGTTCCTTGATGAGCTCCAGGTCCTCCTCAGTAATAGGAGGCTCCTCTGTCTGGGCCTGGCCCTGCTGGCCCCAGTCATCACTGCAGCCAACAACACAGCCACATAAGGACATGAGGGTCACAGAAGTGCTGCCCTCTAGTGGACGCTCAAGTAGAACGACACTTCACAAAGAGCAGGAGGAACACTCAAACCCTGGTCTTGGAGGGGTGACGTATAGACAGTTGAATTGAAGTTAAGGAACTCACTTCTCAAACGAGACAAGCTGTTCATCACGGTCTTCGGCCTGTGGGAGGACAGAAACTTTCACAGTCACTTATACAAAGATTTAAGAGAAAAATACACACATCTGGAATATTTAAATGAATATGTATATACTGCGAACATATCCAGTCCACTGCACATCAGGAGTGTGGTATGTAACAGGCTGGTTAGTGACTGACAAGACAAAGGTCCAATGACAGCAGAGCCTTACAGAGAGGCGGGACCCGGCCCGGGCACGAGCCACTGACTCCTTCTCCTTCTCTGCCGCCCGTCGCTGCACCACCTGGAAGTTGTTGAGCGCAGCTGAGAAGTCGTTCATCAGGCGATCCTTCTGGATCTTCTGCTGACGCTGAAAGCAAGACAGAGTGGTTGGAGATGCCCTCAGCTGAACGCCTTCAGGAACAGCTCAGGACTAGAGATGCAAGATATACTGGTTAACAGATCAGTACTGGCCGGCAGTTGTTTAAATCTGCATATGGGTATTACTCTGATATATCAACCTTGGCCCACACTTCCAGGTACGCCCCCCCCACCCCCAGCAAATATCACTAGCAGTAAAAGTGACTCAAAGGTTAGCCAGTGATTGGTATTAGCAATATTAGACAAAAAGATATCAACTACCTAAAGGCCTTGTCTATTTACACACCCCGATCCCAGACCCAGGCTACCTCAAGGCCTTGTCCATTTACACACCCGATCCCAGACCCAGGCTACCTCAAGGCCTCGTCTATTTACACACCTGAACCAAGACCACAGCTACTACAAGCCCTTGCTCATCTCCACACTGGAACACAGACCAAGGCTCCCTCAAGGCCCTGTTCATTTACACACCTGAAAACAGGAGCTGGTACATGATCAGGCACCATAAGTAACTCTGCACTCACCTGCTCGGAGGGGGACAGTGGCTGCGGCAGTGAGCCCAGTTCCTTCAGGTACCGGTTGGTGTCCTTGGCCAGCTGGTTGGTATGGTGCTGTACCTGCTGCCTGTAACCAAAAGAAACCACATGTAACCCAGATGACAGGTGTCAGTGACAGGAAGGTTTCTTTAGGTGACACTGGATGGTAATGCAAAGCAAGAAGAAGCTCTCACAGCTTGTCGTGCAGCTCAGCAGTGTCCTGCTTTGTCCCAAGCTGGTACAACAAGCTCTTAATCTGGGCAGCTGTGAGTGAAAAGACACATGGGAGTCAGACAGGGGGGACCTGAACATCACCTGAAATGTTAAGTAGAAGCCGTGTATAATTATCAACTACATGTCTGATCTCACTTCAAGTAAGTATTCAACCCTGATCAGTCCAATCACAACATCAGACAAACTAAACTCACTGTTCTGCGTGATCTTCTGGATGTTCACGCTGCATGTCTGAATGAGGGAGCCAAAGTCCCGTGGCTGCGAGTGATAGGCGTCTGTCTTCCCGTAAGACATGGCGGATCTGTCGTCAGGAGCCCTCCAGCAGAGCAAGGAAGACGGGCCGGGGCAGGCGAAGGGCGGGACTACTCAGGAGCTCCCTACGGGACACAAGCAGAGGCTCGGGTGAGTCACGAGCATTGGCGGAAGAATGGCGGGTATATGAGAAAGTCAGAAAAGTGTTTTACATAACAAGTTACCAATTATATAACCAGAGAAATGGTGAATCTGGAAACAGGAGACAGACTGACAGTTTCACAGTAAATCTTTTATAACCATTTAAACTTAGGCCTTACTAGACAATTTCCTCCACAGGAACCCATTTAAAGAGCTAGATATTTTTAGCAAGTTAGGTTAAGCACTTCAAACACAGCTATACCGGAAGACCCCTGTGGTCCGACAGGCAGCCTTCATTGTCCACACCCACCACAATACCTGCCAATTTTAACCACTCACTGGTCTAAGCCTCTGTGTCTGTGGTCAGAAGGTCGCAGGTTCGAGCCCGACCTCGGCACGTCTACGGGTCCTTCAGCAAGGCCCTTAACCCCCAGCTCCCTGGGCACTACTACGGGGGGCTGCCCATCACAGCCCGTTTGCTCTCACCTACAGAGACCAAGTTGGGGGGGGTGTAAAGAGAATTTCCCCAATGGGATCAATATAGTATCAATTACCATTATTCAAAGCAGACATTCAAGGCGAAAGATCCAGAAAAGAAAGCTGCTTGTTTCACTTCTGATTTTCCTGACGCACCGACTATGTATCAGAACTGGCTTTTAAAATGCTCTAATTGCCAAATAGGACGATTCACTCGCCCCGCTGGTGACTGTCCTGCACGGAACACTCCCAGTTTTCACACATGTACACAATCACTGGGCAGAGGAGCAACCCAAACTCACAGATGCCCTGCATGTCTACAGAAAATGCCAAAAGAGCTACAGCACATTTAAACCCACTGACAGGGCGGCAGGACCCCATCCTCCCCCACGACAGAGTATTCTTTGTGGCGGAGCCACTCGATGACCCACACCTCGACTTTTCAAGTGGACAGGAATATGGGACCCTCCTACAACAGCTTAAGAACAGATTAACAACTTCCATGGACATCTGTCACGTGACACTCAAAGCCCCCTCTACCCCCCCCCAAAAAGGTTCGATAGTACTAAAGCTACCCTGAGTCTTCAAGGAATACAGCAGACAACACGGTACATAAGACCAACAGTATTTCTATGATTTTAAAATTTATTTTACGAGGCTTGTACAAGAAGACAGATCTGCAACAGTCAGTAAGCGTTTGCAGGCCCCCTTACTGGGCCATCTGCACTTCCATACCGAGCCCCATGGCAGACCATCTTTAGGCCAGCCATCGGCATCACGTACAAGCCTTGTGTCACACATCCGGGACGTGGGGACCTTCAGCTACCCCTTGTCCGACAGGCCGTCTCACGGCTCCCCATCACGCAGGCCTTCCGTTCCTGCCCAATGCACTTTAATATAGAGAATCATACGAAGATTGATGTCAGCAGTTAACCGAGTCGTTTCGCGTGTTTCCGCAACATCAGGTGCGGAAAACGGTAGAAGTGAACAAAGCAGGCGAAGCAGAGCGGGATCCCAGCCGCGGCTCGCCACCCATCCGGAAGGCGGAAGGCTGACGGCTCAGGCGTAAACACGCCCTGCATCGCAGCAGGCTGACCCGGCTTGAACACAGAGACCACAAAGAGCGGCCATCCTCCTCACAGGCCCGAAACACGGCGGCTTACATACGCAAAACTGCGGGTATTATTTTGCAAATTTATTTCCAGGCAGATCTCATGTTTACCGTGACAGACACCAGTTATTTCTAAACATTCCTAGATACGACCTTACGCTGGATGCACAGCCTGACAGCCGGGCGTATTCGCGGTAAACCTCATTTCTGCGGACAGCCACACGGCAAACGAAAGCCTTACTTTTCCGGGAGAGTCGGGTTCGAGCGACACGGCAGCCTTCCGTTATTTTCCCACCGCTAGTCCAGGTCGATGGGCGGGGCACCACGGAAGGCAGCCAATGGCCAGCACATACGTCAGCACGTCGGACGTCCGGGAAAAACGCGCCGACGCACAGCATCACCGGATTTTACTGGTCCATATTTTCGTCTACAAAGTCGAATAAACTGATACGTCATTTACTGCCCCGTTGTATACTTACATACCCATAAATGCAGCTAAATAGTTAATTTTAAAGGTAGTCAGTAACTAATTCGAATAGTATGACATTTGTGAATTTGTCAGTTATACTCATTATGGTTTAGGGTACTTAATTGTAGTCACCATTGGATCCTGTGCAGCCTCATTCTCTGCAGCAGCTCTATCCCGTGACTATCACATGGCTCTGGAGGAAGATTCCAAGAGCACTCACATGACCACGAGGGGCAGAAAGTGAATGAGGCCCTCAATTTCACTAACACCCCCTCTTACACAAACACAGACACCTAATCCCTCTTGTAGGTTTCACGTGCAGTGAAATGAGTTTTAAGCCTGGTTAAAGGAAAAAACAAAAAAAAACTTCTTTTGAACACAGACTTATACACATAAGACTTACCCTGTACTAAAACACGATTGGAGTGTACCTGCTGTCAACTAACCAACACCAAAAACGGAACCATTTGGATCAGAAATCACTTGGATCACTTTATTTCTTTTTCAAAATATTACCTTTGAACGGCAAGTATTATCAGAGTATGATTTACTTTTAAACTACTGTAACTGAAGTTTTAATTGCCTAATTTTCCTATGTGAGAACTTCTTTGTAGAAGATAGAAGGTCCAGTGCAAACGATTTATAAAAGTCAATGAGAAAATGCACTGAACATACAACAGTGACAGACTAAACTGTTCAAAAATACGGGGTAACTCCTGAAAAAGACGTACTTCTGGGCTAAAGGGCCCTCGCTGCTCACACAAACCTACAGCTGACACTATTCAATGTACTGTGCCTTAGCATTACTAAAGTAAACTGGTGTATTTGCGCAATTAATCTGCAGTTGTATACACAAGAAAGGTTTTAACAATACAATTTAAAAGGTAACAGTACAGGATCAGGGAATGACGAAAAAATGTCCGCTGGAGAAGAAAAGATTTCCATGAATCTTTGGAGATGCAGAAAAGTGCAGAAAGTGCTGGTCTGCACTGACGCGTCTCAGGGGCAACGGACCTGGCTGTCAGACCTGGTCATGTGGGCAGGGGTCACATGATCGCCCCCCCCCCCCAAAGTCCATGTGTGGCCCTAAGCAGACACAGGCAGTCCTGGGGATCCCTGTGACGGCCAATGGCAGTCCATCAGTGCGTCGTACAGCTCTTCACTCTCCTCCATGAACTGCTGGTTGGCCTCCACCACATCTATTTCAACATTGGGATCTGGAAATCAGGGGCAAAAGTCACAATCCACAAGGGGACGGATTTGTGCTCCATTATGTTTGCCTGACAGAAATATGCAAACTGGTTAAACTCCAGGAAATCTGAAGATGAGGCCATTGGGACTCACTCACCTTCCAGCCCATCGTCTTCAATCTCGTCATATGACTGAAACATACAAGATTAAACTTAATTCCTTTCGGATACAAAACCGGACAGAGGCAAACTTCTGCTGGATAATAATTTACCAACTTACCTGTGAGGAATAGTCGTACTGGTTGTAGTTGTAGCCATAGTTTGGTGAATTCTGGTCATAGCCCCAGTTTGAGTAGTAGTTGGGATATTGCTGGTAATACTGGTTATGGCTGTAAGGGTAGGGCTGGGAATACCTGTTGTCCGGGTAACCGCCTCTGTTTTGGGACATAAAAAAACTGACACATTCAATAATGGTCAATACCCACCCAGTGGGTAAACTACAGATTCACGTTACATTTTACAGGACATTTACTGATCCTAAATGCCCTGTAAACGATGCTGAAGAGGTGGAGTGAAGAGTGGTTTTCCTGGACCCAAATTCCCTCCAGGCATCATTAAACAGGCAGAAGCTGCTACATATGATTGGGGGAGACCATGAAGAACACAGACAGTCTGCCTTCTTCCCTGGGGGGGAAGGGAGGACATCAGCACGCTCCCCCACCTGCTGTCTCCTTGACGGCCGTACGTAGCTCTGTTTAGCTTGAACCTTTTCGGCTGTGATGAAGAGGAAAGAGAACCAGTTGAGTCCAAAGGAAAAATGACTACATTGGCTAGCATGTCATGAGCGTCTCCTCCAGCAGAACATGCAGTACCGGTGTGGCCCCTGGAAGGGGCTTCCCATTGATCTTACGAAGACACCGTTCTGCTGTCGCCTCGTCTGCCAGCTCCACGAAGCAGTAACCTGCAGCACCCCTAGAGGGAGCAGGAGAGCATCATGGATACAAGGTCAGATCAAACACGGGTCACACAGCAGGTTTGGGAGTGGGTGAGAACAGGGGGGTGTTCTCGACACGTCGCTTAACACATCCAAGGTCAGAGGACTCATTTTGGGGGTTTTAATATAATACGCTTATCTGACAATTTTTCTTCAAAGCCACAATATAATTGGATTAGAAAAGCTGAATTAAATCATCTGAAATAACTGTGCCTTCCACTGGTCACTGACTAGACTACATACTGTATATCGACACTTGAATCCATGATCAGCAAGTCTGAGATTGGCTGTCTAAAATAGCGAAAGCGAGGGAGCTTTTGCTGGAGGGATACGAGGAATTTAAGGAAATTATACACACCAACGGTAACAGAGTAAGAGTGGTCAAAACAAGAGGGGGTTAGCAAAAACTGGCGAACAAGTGTGCAATTGTCCTTTTTAAATGTTTACTATCACAACCTTTGCATTTCCACTGCATGTATGAATATGAATTATTTTGTCCATCATATTCAGTACCAGCACACCTAGGAACAGGTTACAGTAAAATACAAAAATATTATTCAAACTGCTATGTATTACAGAACTTCTAACCCAAATATGAACAGTATTAACTAGAGTGCAAATAATTAGATTTCCTTTTCAAGCAAACAGGAAGAAAGCTGAACCTAAGGCTGGGGGCCACCTGTGCCTGACTTCACCCCAGCCTAAAAGGTGGCTATCCAGAAAAATGCCCATCGCCTCATTTTAGGGGCGTAGAAGCAGGGAGCTCAGCCTCAGGCCCAGCGGCAGGGTGCCACAGTGGTCAGTTCATTTCAGGTAAAGGGAGGTCATTGCACATATTCATGCTGTATGTTACCACAGGCTCTTTGTGGGGTGGGGGGGTGGGGGGGGGGTAGCTGCAGGTATGTCCTCACACTGCTACCAGTGTGGGAGCAAAGAGATGGGGAGTCACGTGACCTCGTCCCTCTTGAGCTTAACTCTGGAAAAGCAGTTTGTCCACATACATCAACAGATCTTATTCATCATGCAATATAGGCTCAATTTGAAACACTTTTCTTATTAGCTAAATACTATATACAGAAATGTAAATCCAATGGTGTGAAACATTTTTTGCCTTCTTTATGTATCCCTGGTATGCATTTGTTTGTTTGTATTTGTACTGTACGGCAATGATGAGGTACATTAAACCGAATCCCGATCCGAACCTATGGAGTCCGGAAGCAGAGAAATCCCCTGTCTTACCACGTCCCCCGGTTGCGGATGATCCGCACGCCCACCACCAGCTCCCCCATGGTGGCGAAGGCCCGGGAGATGAACTTCTCATCCATGTAGGGCTCCAGCTGCGAAAAGATGGAGATCAGTCTGAAAGCGTAGTGACACCCTGCGCGGCCATTTAACCCTAAGCCCGCTGTCTCTACGGCACAAAGGTGCCGGAATATCAGTTGGGACTCCCAGCATCTTGGTAAATTACAGCGACCTGCAGGTTACTGCCCGATCTGCCGCCCCAAGCAGCTCCTCGTTACATCTATGTCTCACAATCCCGCAGCGTACAGAACAGGCCGAGCTGCTCTCACCGCACAGGTACCGCGCTGCCTTCGGAGCTAAGCCGGCTCGCCTCGGGCTATTTACTCTACAGAAACCTCAGTCCTATTACACGCACGGCCTTTCAATGAACTAAGCATTATAAAGCAACACGAAACCCAAACAATTACGGCGAAAAAAGGCCGAGGCTAAACTCATTTATTCATGTTTAGATATTTAGCCTGTTAGCACACGCGTAAACACGACGGCTATTGAAGTTAGCTCACATTGCCCATCCACAGACAGCTCATTCTGCTCGACACAAGCCGCCCACTTGTAACGACGCAGATTAATAAAATTATTAACTTCACAGTGTTATTAATCCGAAGCAGCGTTACACTCCTGCACCACGCCGACCGGATCTTCTCTTTTCCTGCCCGTCGGTTTCGTTTCACAACAGCGACACCTTATGGTTTGGAGGTCCAGTGAATTCATATTAATAATGATACTTCATTTGTCGTTTTACCAGTGCAGGTACGTTGGAGTTCTTTGGTTTCCGTGTATCTCATCGTGCTGTTCTATGAGACACACTACAAACATATGAGAGTGAAGCATGGAGTCAGACAGCATAACCGCCATCATTCTGGCACCAATTGATGGGATTTAAACCGGTGACCTACTGGACATAGACAGGCTAGCTCTGTCCCATTTCTCCCTCTTGGTCCACACTTACTCACTACCACATTTGGCATGCACTTTAATGAGGTCAGTGCAAGTTTTTACGGGTATCCCGTTCCTCCAGTAAGCCCAGTGCAGTGGGTTTGAAGAACACTTTATTCACGTTTTGGCAAATACCAGATGTAAGCAGTCTTTGTCTAAGTATACAGATCACAGTGCACCACATCAGTGACGGCTAATGTTTACATCAAACACGATTATGTGTGCTGGCTTATAAAAGTTTCAATGTAAGTATACAAAGTACGACAAATGTTTACGTAGCCTACGCATTAGTGTTGTTTTCGTCAACGAAATTTTTGACTAAATATCTTCGTTAACGAACCTTTTTGACGTGACGGAGACGAGACGCAACGTAAATGCTGGTCATGTGACGATAACTATAACGAAATATATCGTGTAATATTGTTGACGAATGAAAACGAGACTAAATTTGGTTCACAACATAAAAATATACTAAAATGTCTCTTCATTTTCGTTGACGAAATTTAATTGCGTTATTATTATTATGCAGTATTTCTGTTTCCTTTTCCGCTCCAATTTAAAAGAGGGACAAATAATCTGCATGCCAACAAATGTCATCCTAAACCGAAGCCATATCTTAAATAAATATGAGCAACGGGAACACTATCACTCAGAACAGAAAATACAGTGGTATCTCAGTTCTATAACCAACCAGTTCGATATTTTGGTGTAATTTTTTTGGGCCGGGAACCAATTAATTGGTTTTCCATTATTTCTTATGGGGAAAATTCGATCAGAACTCGAACTTTTTAGGATTCGGTCTGGAGTTCTGAACGGATTAATTTCGAGTTCTGATGTACCAATGTAATTATCTAATTATGAATTATCTAAACACCCACTATAGAAGCCGCTTTCCTGATAAGTTTGTTTACTTGCATATTAGACATCACATGACATTAGGGCTGAGGAGGTGGGTTGAGGCAGGTGGGGCTCTGCCGTCTGCCAGAGGTGGGGTGCCCGTGCCTCAACTGCTCGCCCGTTTGCACTTTAGTCATATACACAGTCCATATTACATTAGGGCCTTGGGGTGCGGGGAGGAGGATGGGGGACTCATACCCGAACTGCACCCACTAATTTTAATTCACTTTACAGTTTACAGTGATGTGGAGGGCTGGGGGAGAGAGTGTGGCTGGGGGAGGGACAGAGGAATGTGGAGGGCTGGGGGAGAAAGTGTGGCTGGAGGCAGACCTTTCATTTTCTTCTGATGAAGCCATTATTTTGTTGCTTGGGGTGCGGGGAGGAGGATGGGGGACTCATACCCGAACTGCACCCACTAATTTTAATTCACTTTACAGTTTACAGTGATGTGGAGGGCTGGGGGAGGGACAGCGATGTGGAGGGCTGGGGGAGGGACAGAGGAATGTGGAGGGCAGGGGGAGAGAGTGTGGCTGGAGGCAGACCTTTCATTTTCTTCTGATGAAGCCATTATTTTGTTGATTCGGATGCATGTTTGGGGTCATTGTCGTGCTGAAAGGTGTAATTCATCTTCAGCTTTTGGACCAAAATTGATTGGTATTTGGAATTGTTCATAATTCCCTCCACATTGACTAATGCACACTTTTTATATTCACTATGTTGCACAAATGAAACGTAATACACAAGAATTGTGAATGATCTATAATTAGAACTCATTTTATGTTACATTTTCCCAGCAAATTATATTCTCTCCTTGTCTCTCTTTCTCTCTATCTATCTGGGACAGATGGCTTTATCTATCTAGCTCTCTGTCTGTGACATTCCGCCTGTCTCTCTATGACAGGTGTCTGCCTGTCTAGCTCTCTGTCTGTCTGTGACACTGTCTAGTTCTTTCTTTGTCTTTCTGTGACAGATGTCTATCTAGCTCTCTGTGTGACACTCTGCCCCTTTCTGTGACAGGTGTCTGTCTGCCTAGCTCTCTGTCTGTCTGTGACACTGTCTAGTTCTTTCTTTGTCTTTCTGTGACAGATGTCTATCTAGCTCTCTGTCTGTGACACTCTGCCCCTTTCTGTGACAGGTGTCTGCCTGTCTAGCTCTCTGTCTGTCTGTCTGTCTCTCTTGCTTTCTCTCAGCAAGCACCTGCAAGCCTCAGATATTCATATACTGCGTTTGCTATTTACATAATGAGTTACTCCCAATAATTAGTGATGCATGAATATAAGCAGTTCAGAGAGCCTACAAATAACTTGTCAGATTAGTAAATGCCATGCTTACTGCTGTGATAGTACAGTGAGCTTTTATATGTAACATGTTACTGTGTCAGCAACAGAACAGCATGTCAGATAAAGCACCTTAATGAAGATGGTGTGAATTACTTAAAGTTATAGTAGATATCACTCTTATCTCTCAAATTGACGGATGGCTTTCAGATTTTTCCCTCATTGTTAAAAATATTAATTTGACGCGACCTCAGCCTGGAGCAGAGCCACTGCCCCTGCAGTTTGAGATTGCAGTGCTCAGGCAGAGCCACTGCCCCTGCAGTTTGAGATTGCAGTGCTCAGGCAGAGCCACTGCCCCTGCAGTTTGAGATTGCAGTGCTCAGGCTCCTAAATGGCTCCCATGAAGTTTGTTCTGCGCATGTCCAGCTGGAGTAAGGCCCCAGTATAGTCCAAGCTGCAGGAGGGATCATGTCTCCCGGCATCTTAGGAATGCCGAGGGATGCTGAAATGAGATGTAACGAGAGGTCAGGTTTGACTTTCTTACCTCACTGCCACTTCAACCTAACCCAGAAAAAGCAGTAAGACAATATTTTCACTTATTCAAAATAACTTCACAGAAAATTTAATTGATTGAATGATCCAGGCCCACCTGTGACCCTGACAGGACAGTTAGATTAATTAAAATATACAGGTTTAAGAGGGGGGGGGGCATGGTGGTGCAGTGGTTGGCGCTGTCGTCTCACACCTCTGTGACCCAGGTTCAAGTCTCCTCCAGGGTTCCATGTGTGTGGAGTTCGCATGCTCTCCCCAAGCGGTCATGAAGTTTTACTTCCAGCTTCCTCCCACAGTTACCAGAGTTACCAGTTACCGGATTGCCTGTAGGTATGCATGGAAACTCACTTCCTAAGAATTCTGGCTGTAGAAAAATATAGTTCATATAAAAAGTTTGTTATTCATTAACTACCATAGGTGTGTGTGACTGGTGTGAGAGTGTGCATGCCACCCTGCAACGGGTTGGTGCCCCATCCTGGGTTGTTCATAGCATCTGGGATGCACTCCATTATCCCCTGAACAGTATAAGCAGTTTCAAAAAAAAGGATGGATGGAATTTTAAGTGTGGAGGTTACTGGTTTGGAAACAGGACAGAAACACCCAAATGTGGCCCACAATTACTGCACAAACCCCAGACAGTGATCAATAGGAATGTCTACTTTATTGCAAATGTATAAATGCAACATAGGTAATAGGAGAACATGGTCAGTTCACAGAAGTCCAACTGTCAGAAAATGTTATACAACACTGCCCTCCAGTGTTCAGACACTGGCACTGCATTGTGGTACAGCACACTGGCACTAGTTAGAGCCTTCGACAGTTCAACTAATTTCTGTCAAGTCCACTGTCTGCCTGTCATCTTGTGCTGATGTTATGTGTCACTAGGGACCGACTCCTGTTCATGCTGTAAACAAGGATGAGATTTCTTTAAAAAAAAATACCATATGCCTTTTAAAACATGACGATACTCATGGTCTTTTCATCTCTAAAATCAATATTTAAAAATATAATTGATAAAAACAAAAAATATACACACTGTACAATACAAGAAAGCTAATAAATGTATATTAAAAATCCATCATACTGATGAAGGGGGGTGGAAAAGGAAAACCATCATTAGATATTCCCCACACGAAGAGAACAGGGAGGTCCAGAACAAAACCCAAATCCAGATTCTGACATTCCAGTCTAAAGGCTGTAGAACAAGTGACACGTATCCTCAGGCAACTTACCCAAGACTGAATATTAACCTCAATGACAAAAGAATCAGAGAGATTTCATTTGGCACATAATTACTGTGAACCGAAACATATCCCCGAAGTTATACACGACGTGATACTAGCTAGGCTATGCAAATCACTTAGCCAGTGATATGTAACTTGGGATGGATGGGTAGGAAAGAGGGTCATTTTTTTAAACTGTACAATGAAAGGCCTCATTTTGGTTTTACACATCTGCATTATTGCTTTCTTCTTTGTCCTGAAAGCCATACAAAATGGGGTTTAGTGCCATGTAGGAAACATTAGAAAAAGATCAAAAATCTGTTGTTTAATCTGATTGTAATAAATTACATTTTAAACGTATGGTTTTTAAATACAATTCATCTAGATTAGACTCACTTCTTAAAAAATCTGCCTGTAGAAAACAGTTCACATAAAAAGTCTGTTATTCATTAACTACATGTCACCATGCTACCCACAAAAGTCTTACAAAAGAATTTCCACCCCCCACCCCCCCCAGTGTCTCCTGTTTAAGGGACAGTAATGGGTGATCCACCAGTGTCCATGATGTGTAAATGCAAAAACCCAGACTGTTGGAGACTATTCAGAACCAGGGGTATTGAGCTTCTCCGCTTCAGCCATTTGGTTCTGGGGTTGGGTGGGCTGGGCCTTTGAGCGACATGGCAAACCCTTGGTCTTCCACAAAACCACGGCATCCAGCAGAAACAGGAGAGAGGCAATGAATCCAAAAGCCTTCAAATGAAAGAGTGAGAGAGTGAGAGAATGAGTGAGAGAGTTCATAATATGCAAATTAGGCACCAATAAGAGTTACATCATGTATTCAGGCTCTTAACTTACAAATATTTCTACCAATCAATCAATGTCATTCAACGTGTGGATTAGGACCAATATTCAAAAGAGCAAACAGAAAATAGTGTTTCAAGGCCACCTGCTTACTGTTCATGTTCACTCACTTAGTGAATTTCTTTAGTACTATACTTCATGTTAAATTAGTCAGAACAGGATATGAAAGAAGCTACTTTTCATTTTTAAAAAGGCTTCATCAACCTATCATTATGAATTACTGATCAGTGAAAGGGTCACTCTTTAGACCACAGGACATACCACTGAGGTGCTCTCCACTGCACGCCCACCATTGTCCTTGGCGAAGGCTGCAGAGGCGATGAGGAAGAGGACGCCGATGACCACAGTGTAAGAGAAGTCCTGTGGGAGAGGCCACCCGTCAGGGATAGGCTGAAGCATGTCACATGACCTGGGTGTCACCAATGTCGCATTTCAGCACACTCACCAACATGGACCAACAGGAGATCCCGACCCTGTGGTGGAGCGGCGTGGACAGCAAGATGACAAGCAGGCCGGTGAAGAGGAACGCCGTGCAGCTCACAAACTCAAAGAAGTAGAGTGGCGAGCAGGACTTACAGTGCAAGACCACCTCCTCCAGGATGAAGGCCACTAGGGAGAAGAGCTGACAGAGACAAAGGGCCCATCAGGAGAGGTCTCCTCTGGTTGGCTAGCAGCCTGATGGCCTAAGCATGTCAGGTTACGGTCCCTGTTACGGTCCCTGTTACGGTCCCTGTTACTGTCCCTGTTACTGTCTCTTTCACATCCTTGTGCTGCTACAGAAGCTTAGCAGTTCAATTAACACACCAAGAGCAAATCGCTTGATTATGGCAATGAAAGTAAAACACGAGAAACGGACAGCGTGCAAACCTAGAGAAATATTACATGTACAGTCATAAGAACATAAGAAATTTACAAACGAGAGGAGGCCATTTGGCCCATCAAGCTCATTTGGGGAGAACTTAACTAATAGCTCAGAGTTGTTAAAATCTTATCTAGCTCTGATTTAAAGGAACCCATGGTTTTAGCTTCCGCTACACTAGCAGGAAGACTATTCCATACTCTAACTACACGCTGTGTAAAGAAGTGCTTCCTCAAATATGATTTAAAATGTTCTTCCGCTAATTTCCACTTATGGCCACAAGTTCTAGTATTTAGACTAATATTGAAAAATTTAAAATATGTGGCCAGTACACTGAAAAAAATGAAAC